CAATGCCTGAAAGAAGTGTTAGTCAGTTGATGCAAGGTCTGGTGAATGACGGAAAGTTTCCAAGTCCAACTCTTGTAGTTTGAGCAGCGTTGTGCGACATGTCGAACATTGTCTTGCAAGAGGATTGGCCTGTTTCTATTGACCAACCTCAGCTGGTTAATCGTAAACATCCTCATCATTTCGTTCAGTTGCTTATAGTAGTTATCCGCTGTAATCGATTAACCATGTTTCATGAAGCTGTAGTGGATAATACCAGCGCTAGACCATCAAACAGACACCATTAGCTTTTTTGGTGAATATTCGGTTTCGAACTGCGTTTCAGCACTTCATCTACATCCAGCCATTGTGCCGAACGCTTGCGATTGTCGAAAAGAATCTATTTTTCATCATACGTAACAATACGATGTAAAAATGGTTCGCCTTTATGTCGTGATAATAAAGAAAGGTAAGCTTCGAGATGATTTCTCTTCTGAGGCTCGTTTTTAATTTATACTTTAATTCATACGGAACCCATTTATCCAGCTTCTTTACCTTGCCGATTTGTTTCAAATGATTCAATATCGTTAGAATAGTAACATTAAACCTTGCTACTAATTCACATGTAGTTTGAGATGTTTCCGCTTCCACTACAGCTTTCAGTTCATTATTATCCATCTTGGTCTCAGGTCGCCCATATGGCTCATTTTCAAGATTAAAATCGCCAGAACGAAATTTTTCAAACCATCGACGTACTTCGTGCGTTCATTAGCCACATCTTCACTAAACACTTTGTTGATATCTCGAGTTGTCTGTGTTGCATTGGTTTCACGGCGGAGCTCATATTCGAAACTATCACAAATTTTTGGCTTACCCATGGTTACACAAAAATTGCTGTAACAAAGACAATTCGAAAAATAATCACAAACCAAATCATGCGTTTGAAAGAGTGATGATGTACATAATAAAAAACCAAGAACTGTAAAAATGAACCGTCGGAGATAGCGACTATCGAACTTAATACTTAAGGAAATCGGACATTTCATATTTACATATTATAATGATCTAATAACACAGGCAAGTATCACGAGAGCAAGTACGAGAGAGAAGACCTCGTCCATATAAAATTAAGGCTCCAAGGAAACGCCACCGCACGAAAGCGAGTCCAGACAAGACCGACGTTCTGCGACATAAATTCACGCTTCAACAGAAGCTGGACGAAAATCGCACCCAAAGTAACACCGAAACTCGAAGAGGTCGCAGCCGAGATATTACTCGGACAATCGCGCGAGCATGATGTTCTCTCGAAATTCCCGATTAAAATATTAATCTTCTTCCTAAGCGCGCCATTGTTTTTATTTTATCGCTGCGACGATGAATTGTTTACTATATGACAACTGTCAGTCCTCAATACGCTACATGATGACGTTTCGTTTCGAGCGAAGGTTTCTTTGCCCTGTTTAGCAAAATGTTTCCTTCCCGACGAAATTAAATGCGCATTAATTAGTCACGATTGCGAGCCGCTCTTCGTGGGTTTCGTGGGCTTGCGTGGCAATCGGTGAATGATGGTGCACAGTGTGAGTAGCAGCCTTTCATTGTACTTTTATCCGGTGGATAAAAGTGTGATCAAAATGCCTGCACGATATAGAGAAATATTTGACTTGGCTTGGAGTTGTTGGTTGGACATTTCAGGTCGCAACCAACCTGGATAGGATCCGCTTAGGACCGCACCCGATAGGATACTTATTGTTACTAATTAACCTCAAGAGGTTCCGCTTCCTATTGAATGCATAACACGTTACAAAATCTGTCGAGGAAAAAGTTGCAATCTTTGATCGGCGAATTACACGCAACTCTGTAACATATGATTCAAATGCTCTTTTGTTCGATGTTTGGAACGTAGCGAGATCTTGTTTTCAATCAATTCTCGGAAGTGGAGTTTTTTTCTCAGCTGTGTTTCAAACTCCATCGAGGAGGAGCGCCCGAGCAAATGCACAATTATCCGCGAGAGAGAAATACACGTACGCTCTGGAATAACCGAAGGACGGCGCGGCGGTAAAAGTAGTTCTGCTTCCGGAGAGCAAAACAATTCTCTTCAAAACGTTCAACATATCGACATATTTATCGGTGCCAAAGTAAAAGCAAAGAAAATATACAAACTTATTTGTACTTTAAATAAATGCAATAAAAAGTTATGCACATAACGAGCAAACCTTAAGACAAATTTGACCTTGCAGAGACGTACTTGATGCTACCTTACGCAGCAATGGGAGTCGATATTATCAGTTACTAGACTGACGAAGATTAATCCTTTTAGTGCTGATCGAAAGAATTATACCTAAGCGAAGAATATCGAACCAAGCTGATATAATTTAGTAAGGTTTGAAAAAAAGTATAAATATAAAAGTAAGAATGATATTTACCAAGTTCAAAAGGAATATATTACGAAATAAAGGAAGAATAAACTAATGCTAAATGTATTTTAATATTTGTTGAAAATCGTACTAATAATGTTTATTCAAAATTATTAGGAAAAAATATAAAAATCAGTTATTTTTTATAAATAGTATTTGCAAATAAGAAGAACCGTCGGTTGGTCATAGTTTGATGTAGAACACGTAGTATAAAGCATAAATACTGCATTTTCAATTATTTGTAACAAAATTACTAATATCAAAACAGAAAACTGAATGATAATCCCATGATGCGCAGCAAGCATCAGGAGCGTCGCGGAATATAACAGAGAGTTAAACCCATAAACAATTTTTTCAATTCATGGAACATCTCATATAGAACTTTTGAAGAGGAATTCAACCATTTATAATGTTTCATAAATTTATCTCTCGCGATGCGAATAATAAGACGCCATCACATGCGATACGATATATCGTTGTTCGGTACTATAAACGTTAAACCTTAGGAAACACTTATTCCCTCAGCATATGATGCAAAACTGCCGGAGTAAATTCGCCGATGTATTGTTCCCAACACTTTGAAACCTGAAAATCTTGCTTCGCAAAGTGCTGAGATATTACGAGTGTGATTTAATTTTGAAGGTTTTGCAAGAGGTGGCACTAATGTCAGTTTTGTCGAAGATATTCCAATCACAGCTATTGCTTCTTAATGCTTTAATATTAATCCATGATACTTAGTCATTTAGTAACAATAAACGCATTAAAAAAATTAAATCGTGTTAATACCTGAAAAATGGAACTTCCTAAAGAGCATTTTCTACATGTGTTGCTTTTGTCTTTTGATCGGAAGAAAACGACAGTTAAAGGTCAGAATTCTAAACTTATAGTAATATTGTGCTCCGTCAATTAAGACATGTGAATATTGGTTTAAATGATTAAAAATGATAATTTCAATGTTAACGACAAAGATCGCTGGGGACAACCAAAGGCGGCTTGAAAATATAAATTTGCAAGCATTATTGAACGAAAATCCAGCACCACTTCAGAACTTGCCAGAGCATTAAATGTTGATCATACAACAGTTACTAAATGTTTATATGATATGGAAAAGTGCAAAGAAATGCAAAGAAGGAAAATAGGTTCCGCATCAATTATTGGAAAATGGCATTGTGATTAAACATTTGCATTTCGTTGATCGTCAGACAAAGAATGAAGAGTTTTATCGAATATCAAATTGTTACTGGGGGTGAGAAGTGCATCTATTTTGATAATCCCAAACGAAAAAAACCGTAGATTGATCCAGGCCAATTAGCAACATCCACTTTAAAATGCAATATTCACGGCTCAAAGATATCGCTGTAAGGTGTATGTGGTGGAAGAAGGTAGGTGTTGTGTACTGTGAACAATTAAATCCGAATGAAACTGTCACCGCTGATCGTTACACAATTATACTGATCGACAACAATTATACAAATTGTAGCGAGCATAGCACCAAAACGGCTACCAATTATGAGTAAACGATGTAAAGTGATTCTTCTTCATGATGATGCCCGATCTCATGTTGCATTATCAGTGAAGCAAACGCTATTAGAGTGGGAAGTTCTATCGCATCCCGCGTATTTTCCAGACATTGCTTTATCCGATTATTACATGTTCCGGTTGATGCAACATGCTCTAGAGCAGAGGTTCCCAATCAGAGGTGTTCGTATTCCCTGAGGGTGCGAAAAAATATACCTTAGGGGTGCGAGGAAAGGTGATTGTAATTAATAATGATCAAGATGAATTCTGGAATAATTTGGCATTTTTACCGTGAAATTAAAAAAAAATGTTATTAAAATTATATATGTTTTACGTATCTGTACACATATATTCATGACGTGTCACTATACGAAACTTGATACCATGGATAATAATTTTATAATATTAAAATAATAGTTAATTTCTATAAAACAATACTATGTAATAATAAATTATTATAAATTAAGTGCATTAGTTCTATACATTTTTTCTTTCTAATGTTTTATTTATGATTGACAAATATTTATAAATATTAACATGTTATTCTACAATACGTTACTCAACTCTTTATAGTTTAATAAAAAATTGAATATCTTTTTTGATTTTTAACTTTTTACTTTAAAATCACAACAACTAATTTTTACTATAAAACAAACGAATAATTTTTTCTATAGGGGGTGCGAAGGTTTATTAATAAGTTTTTAGGAGTGCGAAATGCAAAAAAGGTTAGGAAACTCTGCTCTAGAGGATACACATTTCCATCACTACGAATAAGTACGAAAATTTGTTGAAAATTGGATTTCCAAAGATTCTTTTTATCGTCCCGGAATCTATCTCTTGCCAGTACGATGGGAAAAAGCTGTAGAAAATGAAAGAAAATATTTTGAATAAGATATTCGTTTATTATCTTGTTTAAGTAAATCAGTTTCTGAGAAAAAAACTCTCAAAACTAAATCACACTCCTAATATAAGAGAGTACGCTACTCGATTTGAAAGATCATTTATCCCGGAGCAGTCACGAATAACGGCTGCGAATTTGTGCATGACTTTGCGACGATTTTCATCGGATATTTACAAGTCTAAAGTTATTCCATCGACCTCTCAGCTAAACTGTTCGTCAATGTCTTATCAATATGTGACGATGAAAGGCGACGTGTTGGAAAGAAAACAAAACAAGATCCATGCGAAGCAGGTCAGGATATTCAAACAGTCGGAATATCGTAAGCACTTGACGGCGTATTCGCACGCAGAAGTCGCATAAGTCGCACGCCGAAGTCCGGACATTTTGACGTATCGTCAAATCAAAGAATTTAACCAAGGATCTTCTCTTGCCTGAAACAATGCTCACCATTTTCACGTCCCTTCTTTTAACGAGTGGCATGGCTACGGCTTGGGCGATACCGATAAACGACGAACAACAACAGAACAACAAAGATGTTATGTCGATACGTGAGTATCATACCATCGTCGTGCAAAGTGATTGTCTCGAAAAAGAAAGATACACGATACCTCCGTTTGCTCCTTGCGACTAGAAGTCCGTCTCTGGCAGATACGTGCAATCCAAAGTATCAATTGAATCGGTCCATGACCCTTCCGAGACAAACACGAAGATGCAGTTATATTGCCCTGCTTGACGCGCAGAGAGAAATCGCTGAGCATATTGTGTGTCTTGTTTGCAGTACCGGATCTGTACAAGTGTGAGAGGGAAAGATACGCTGTGCAAGATTGCCTACCATCCAGCATGCTCTCGATAAAGTCATATTTAGCCGATGGCATCCAGGATTTGAATGTGGTGCCATTCGAGCCTTTTTACGTACATGAATTGCCGCTCAACTTTGCACATACAAGGATAAGAAGAATGACGTTTTTTAATATGACCATCTATGGACTAACGGACTACAAGATAAATAACGTCGTGTAAGTAATAAGTAGCGAATGAGATCTCTACGGTAACGTACGGTCCAGATGCGGGACGATTATCCCCATCTGGAAAGTCGACGGGTCGATCGACGCTATTATAACACGCTTATGCATGTTAATTTGCGGTGCGACAAGTCGCATTGTGCGCGACGTTGTTATCGTCAGAAATTTCCGAGCGAATGTTACGGGCGATTGACAACCTACTACAATACTACTCGTCGCACGGCAACACCCAAAAAAAAGTATTCTATTTGTAAAGTGATTTTCCCCGTAGCAAAAAACATCATTGTAAAATGATTTTTTTCATATTCTAAGCGAAACCTTTTACAGAAAGAGGATTCCTCTTTCGATAAAGCGACTAAAGTGAACCGTTTATCTAAAATTTATTAGATATTACTTTAACTATTTGCCTCTTATTTCAAGAAGATTTCCTCTTACATTAATTAATTTTTGTGTTATATGAAGAGGAATATGTTGATTTGAATGTCGGCTTCTTTCTATTCAGTCATGCTCTACTTCCAGACATGAATGAAAAAATAATTTTATACTCATGGGTTAGAATATTTGAAATGCTTTTTAAAAAAGGTATGTATGTTATATAACGTAACGTGTGTGTAATATAACATGTAACGAAGATCATTTACCCATATTCCATCAAATATAGTTTATAACCTATTAGAAAAAGTTGAATAATATATTCTTCCTTTTAACTATGTTTCATACAATTGGTTATCATGGACATCTTTATAGCTATGAAGTCCATAACGAAACTGATTGAAAATTTATTTGTTATGATGATCTTATTTCATTCGTGCCTGCTCATTGTAGAACTGGAGCTAAAAGTATATCTATATATATATATATGTATATATTACTTTTCGATAAACATTATAATAATTTTTTCAAATTAACTAATATAATCAGTAAAAATAAAGTACAGTCTAAAAATAAGTAGTAATCTTCTGAGAAAAAGATTAAGTAATCTGTGTATAAAAGAAAATTTATATTAAAATCAATAAGATTTGCGTTACACATATAACATATATAATAATTCCTCTAACTTTAAGAATAATGTGTTCATAATATTTTCCTTTGAATCTTAGAGAAATCCTCTAAAATTTAGATGATTCCGCTTGCTCTAAAATTACTTTTTTTGGGGTGAAAGAATAGCACAGTCCTGTCGAAACCCGGACGAAACCCGGTCTACAACGATCGGATCGTCGGCACGGCGCAGCGTGAAAGTAACTTTTAACTGTTGTTTCCAGAACTAACGACGAAGTGAGCACAATCACATTTGAAGCGTACTTCCTAAGACTCTCTACGCACTCTTGCTACGACATAGACTACTTGCAGCATGATCAATACCTTACGATAAACGGTGACCGTATGAACATGCATTTTTCGGATGTCACTGCTACCATCTGCATAAAAGGTGTATTTTATAACAATACAAATGGAAAGGAAATGTTTCGGGTGAGCAAGGTCTTGGTAAAGTTCTCCGTAAAGAACGCAGAGTTCTATGCATATCCGCCGAACCCAAACGACGTCAAAACAGTCAACTCGATGAATGATTATATGAACAATAACTCGAAAGAAATGGCGAAAGATGCAAGGCTCGAAATTAATACGATAGTTGCGGCTATTATCGAGGAAACAGCCAATAACATCTATACGAAATTCCCGATTGAAACGCTTATGCCTGACTATCGACCTATCTGATTATTGAGCTCGTCACCGTTTTATCTCCACGATCTCTGCTGCTACGTTATTCAGTGATAACCATTATTCGCCAGCACAATTAATTGTGCGCAAATTATTCCTGCCGAGCGTACACATTAGTTTACGAAACGCCTTCTTCGGTCAAGTTATTACGCGCATTAAATGATTATGAATGCCAGCAACTGCTCGCGGGCTTTCACGGCAAACGTTTGCGACAAGAATCGAATGATGCTGTATAATGTAAATAATGTATCTTTATTATATTTTCATTTGATAGGTAAAAATATAATAAAAATACTCGCATCATTCGCGAGTACCACGTTAAGTTTATTACGTCGGACGTCGCGTCATATACGCACTATCATTTCGGTTTTGTTGTCATCGATCATCGCGCAAGTTCGTGAGCAGCGTCTTGTAATCAAAATAAATTTCGTCTCTAACTTTATCGGAAAAAGCAACTGCAAACCGATGCACGAAGAAGACTACACTTCGAATACAGTCTGGACACCTTTCTCAATTACAATTTGCAACACAGTTGATAGTTCAATGAAAGAACTTGTTTTTAACAATCAATTCCCAGAAGTTAAGTTCCTTCACTGCATCATCCATACTGTGCTGCAAACTGCATCCAGAGAAAACGTCCAAACTTCGCACGATAAAGTCAAGTGTCAAATTACCGCGAAAGTAAGTATCGTGTATTCTCGGGGACATCAGGAAGTAAAACGGATGACTAAATTCAAAATCTTTCCACACACAGGACTAAATAAAAATCCCACTAACACGTTCGCAATGTTGACATTTTATTAACACGAAAGCGGACTAAGTGTACGGATTATTTGTACCTTGAAAAAACATAATAAAGAGTTACGTACGTAATAAGTGAAAGTTGCGGCAGCACATTAATTCTATGTAACCTAATCTGTATATACGTATAAATGCGATGTAATAACTCGGAGGCATAGTTGATTGACGCGGAGACATTGAAAGTCTGACAATGAGTCTGTTATTTTAACATGCATAAACCTGTAACGGGCTAAAGTTTTCATCACAGTATCTTGTCGTATTAAATCACATCGTGTAATTCGTTCAGATATCATCTAACACGTTTAGATACTGTGACTCAAGAAGAATGTTGTGAAACAAGTTTCAGCCAGTTATATGCTCATGCGTAATGTTAAAATAATGTAATATCATCATATCAAAATAACACATTCAGATCTGCAGTGTAACGGCGTGAGCCGAGTTCGTGTTATTCATGGAAGAAGCATTTTCTACATTTAGATATTTTATTTTAAAATCCATCATCTCTCGTGAAAAAGTACCGAAACAAAATTTACCGATATCCCTCTTAGATTAAAGATTACGAATTTAAGAAAGCGGTTTCCTACTTCTGCAAAAACTAAACACGACGATTCGCGTCTGCAGCTTGCAGCGTATTAAGGCAAGAAACAAAAGTTCCAATTTAAAAAATATATACCATATTATTTTATTCCAAATAATCGCTTCGACGAATGATGAACACGAAGAGTATTCGAATTTGCGATTGTTTTCGAAGCGTCCTTACATATTTAGTGTTATTCTCCTGTAAAGCGCCTGTAGCTCAATAATAAACAACAAAGTCACAAGCTGAGAGTCACGTTCGAAATATAACTACCAAAACGTAGAGTAAATATATTAGCGATCAGTCGTTGAAATCATAATCATAGAATTGCTGGTCAACTGTCAGATTCAAGCGTTAAAATCGGCATCCTATTAAGTTCCATTTCAATCAAGGATGTTCGCGCAGACTATGATATGTATTATTTTCGCATTCTTTATTATTACGAGCGTCTTTGAAGTGAGTATTGGACCAAAAATGATTATCAGTTACGAGTAAACGCAACTGATTGCGAGTAGACGCAATCTTCATATTGCGAGTAGACGCAAAGTGATCTTTCATCACGACAATGCTCGGCCTCATATTGCATTATCAATGAAGCAGACGCTATTGGAGCTAGATTGGGAAGTCTTATCACACCCCGTATATTCTCGTCATTGCCCCATTCGATTATCACTTATTCCGGTCGATGCAAGAAGCGCTCTAGAGCAGAGTTTCCCAACCATCTTTGTATTTTGCACCCCTAAAAATTTATTAATGAACTTTTGCACCCCCTACAAAAAAAAATTATTCGTATGTTTTATGGTAAAAATAGTTATTAGGGTTTTAAGAAGTTAATAACCAAAATAATATTCAATTTTTTATGTAACCATAAAGAGTTCTGTAATGTATCGTAGAATAATATGCGATATTTATAACATAAATATAATATTTAATGACTTTGTTGTTCTTGTTGTTATTGAATTAATTTATCAAAGCGTGGAATTTTTTCACTAATTGCAATCCAGAGGTCAGCTTATGGATTCAAGTGAAGTTCTACGCTTTGTTTTTATTAATAAAAGGAAACTAAATCCAGTTCGTGTAAGTGAGTTGTGACAAATGGAGTAAGGACAGTCAAGACTTTTTTGCAAATTTTTAGGTACAGATTTAAAGATAAACATCAGAAGTCTTCAACAGTTTTATCTCCGAATTATAATTTAAAATTACGATTTGTCCGCAAATCAATTAGTTCTTCTTTCAGATCGTCATAGTATTTTTTTATAGAAATTAACTATCATTTTAATATTATAAAATAATTATCCATGGTCTATAACTTCTCATAATGATACATAATAAATATATACGTACAAATACATAAAAAATATATAATTTTAAAAACGTTTTTTTAATTTGGTGGCAAAAATGTCGGATTATTCCAGAATTTAACTTAATCGTTATTAATTACAATCACTTTTCCTCGCATTCCCAAGAATGTTTCTTCGCATTCCCAGAGGGTTGGAAACTCTTGTTCTAGAGAAAATTCATAATTTCAAAGAAATGCGAATCTTTGTTGAAAATTGTATGAACTTCAAGGAAGAATCCTTTTATTGTCGCAGAATCCATTTCTTGCTAGAAAGATAGGAATAAGCTACAGAAAACGAAGAAAAATATTTTGACTAAGATATTCGTTCATTATGTTGTTTAAGTAAATCAGTTTTTGGAAAAAAGAGCTTTTAAAACTAAATCACACTCCTAATATAAGAGAGGACACTACTCGATCCGAAAGATTATCCATTTCCGAGCAGTCACGAATAACGGCTGTGAATTTGCGTGCAATTGACTTCATGATAGATTACATATCGGAGCAAAATCGAAACTTTAAGATAAGCGGGGAGTTCATAAACATAGTTTTTGTAGATATCACTACTACCATCGGTATAGATGGTATATTTTATATTAATGCAGATAGAGATGAAGTGTTCCGGGTGAACCACGTTTCGGTAAAAATTTCTGTAGAGATTGTATTCTTTATTCTTTATACAGCCGTTGTACCAAGACAACATCGACTTAATTAACTCGGTGACTGATTATTTGACCAATAATTCGGGAAGAATGGGGGAAGTTACAGAGTTCGCAATTAACGGAATAGTTTCGGATATTATCAAGGAAGCCAATAGCATCTATATGAAATTCCCGATTAAAATGCTCATGATTGATTATTGATCTGTCTAATTATTAAGCGCGTTTATGTCATCGTTTGATGTCCGCGACGATCTCTGCTATTACGTTATTTTGTGATAACCGTTAATCGCCAGCACAATTAATTGTGCGCAAATTATTCCTGCCGAGCGTACACATTAGTTTACGAAACGCCTTCTTCGACCAAATCATTACGCGCATTAAATGATTACGAATGCGAGCGACGGCTCGCGGGCTTTCACGGCAAACGCTTGCGACAGAAATCGAATGATGCTGTATAATATAAATAGTGTATCTTTATTATATCTTCACTTAACCGGTAAAAATATAATGAAAATACTCGCATCGTTCGCGAGTCCCTCGTTAAGTTTATAACGTCGGATGTCGCGTAATATCGGCACTATCATTTCGGCTTTTGTCATCATCGATCATCGCGCAAGTGAGCAGCATCTTGTAATCCTAATAAATTTCGTCTCTAACTTTATTGGAAAAAGCGACTGCGACAAATCAATGCGTGAAGAAGACTACACTTCAAGTACGGTTTGGACACCTTTCTCAATACAATTTGCAACGCAGTTGATAGTTCAATGAAAGAACTTGTTTTTAACAATCGATTCGCAGAAGTTAAATTCTTTCACTGCATCATTCATACCGTGCTCCAAATTGCATCAAGAGAAAACTTCGTCCAAACTTCGTACGATAAAGTCAAGTGTCAAATTACCGCAAAAGTGAGTACCGCGTATTCTCGGAAACATCAGGAAAGAAAACGGATGACTAATTTAAAATAATTCTTTCACACACAGGATAAAATAAAGATCCTGTTAACACGTTCGCAATATTGACATTTTTATTAGCGTGAAAGCGGACAAACTGTACAGATTATTTGTACCTTGAGTAAACACATAAAGAATTACGTACGTAACGAGTGAAATTTTCGCCAACATATTAATTCTATGTAATCTAATCTCTATGCGCGTGTAAATTCGATGTATTGGGTTGGCAAATAAGTTCGTTCGGTTAGAACAAGTAGAATTTAGAGTAGAATAAAATTAGAGCAGAATAAAACACAATTTTTTGATACACAAGATAAATTTTAATCAATTATATTAGGAGCGCAAAAAAGTTTCTGAGCCTTTTTTTGCAAAATTCAAAATTTATTTAAAAACAAACAAAACTTAATATTAATCAACGAAATATTCCCCGTTTGCATCGATGACCTTTTGCCATCTTTCGGGCAGCTTGCGAATTCCCTGATGGTAGAAGCTCACCGGCTTCGAGGCGATAAAGTCATCAATGCATTTTCGTATCTCTTCAAGTGTCACAAAATGTGTATCAGCCAAGAAATGCTGCAGAGACCGGAATAGGTAGTAATCGAAAGGCGCCATGTCTGGGCTATACGCCGCGTGCGGGAGAAGATCCCAGCCTAACGTAAAGATATGGTCCTGAGTCACTTTCGCAACATGTGGTCGGGCATTGTCATGAAGCAGTATCACTTTACGACGTCCTTTGCTAGTAAATGGCCTCTTTTCTTCAAACGCATCGCTCAAATTGCTCAATTGTTGCTGATAGCGATCTGCCGTTACTGTTTCACCCGGCTGTAACAACTCGTAATATAATACACCTTTCCAATCCCACCATATGCAAAGCAAAACCTTCTTGGCGTGGATATTGGTCTTTGGCGTCGATGTCGAAGGTTGACCAGGGTCAACCCATGATTTTTTACGTTTCGGATTATCATAAAGTATCCACTTTCCATCACCTGTAATGATTTGGTGCAGAAAATCCTTTTTCCGGAACCTTGAAAGCAAAGTGAGTGCCGTGTCACGCCGTCGATTTTTGTTGTCTTCGGAGAGTGCATGCGGAACTCATCTGCCTTCCTTTTGAACTTTTCCCATTGCATGTAAACGTGTGAAAATGGCTTGTTGCGTAACGCCAAGTTGCTCTGCAAGCTCCTTTTCAGTTTGTGCAGAGTTTATATCCAACAATACTTGCAGTTCGTCCGTTTCAATCTTTTGAGGGCGTCCAGCACGCGGTTCATCTTCAAGACTGAAATCTCCTTGGCGAAATTTTTGATACCACCTTTTACACGTAGCATAACTTACAGCGTTCTCTCCATATGTAACACAGATCATTTCAGTGGCTTCAGCAGCATTTTTCTTCAGATGAAACGCGAAGTAGATGGAAAATCGAGTATGCTCTTTTGTTATTGCCATCGTGAACACTGCTGATTTTAAGGTTATGTACATCAAACGCCAAATCGCATGATGTTTCGAAAGACCAGATGTCACTGCTTTAAAACCGCAAGAGGGCGAGAAAATTAATGCA